GGTCTCCTAATATTATAGAAAAATCTGCTTATGAAAAAATGTCACTGTGGGTGCTCTTCTTAAGGGGATGTCCCTTGCTGCCATCAGAGTCTCAAAGGGGTCTGGCACTGGAAAAAGATGAATGTATCCCTCCAAGGTCTCTTTCAACCCTCCAGTCTGCTCTTCAACTTGATGCGAGGAGTCTTTCTGTGTATGCATGCAGAACGATGTACATGAACAGCAAAGGAAAGCTGACTGGCTGACAGAAAACAATGAGGACATGGTAAACAGTAATGGGATTGTTACCCCAAAATAGATGGCTGAAGTCATAACATAGGTAACCTCTTTACTTCAGCATGAAAGTGTCACCTTTTACTTAAAAATAAACCTCCGACTCTCTCTCTCTCTCTCTCAAAATATATAAATAAATAAACTTAACAAAAAATTACTTTAAAAAAAAGTTTTCTTTTTTAAAAAAAAAAAAAAGGGCATCTGGGTGGCTCAGTTGGTTAAGCGTCCAACTCTTGGTTTCAGCTCGGGCCATGATCTCATGGTTCGTGAGTTCAAGCCCCACATCAGGCTCTGCACTGATGGTCCGGAGCCTGGTTGGGATTCTCTCTCTCTTCCTCTCTCTCTCTGCCTCCACCCCTCATTCTCTCTCTCAATAAATAAATAAATAAATAAATAAATAAATAAATAAATGTAACAAAAAATTACTTAAAAAAAGTTTTAAAATTAAACCTCCAAGTAGCGACACCTGTTATCAAGAGAAGAGGCAACAAGGGAATCCGGGCATGCCAGAGAACCTGGGATTGGAAGCATGTGCCCTTATGGACATTCTGTGCTGTGTTATGCAAGGGCTGAAGTGGAATGCAGTGTCTCCCTAGCCTAATGGTGTGCTGTTGATGTATCTGTTGTATAACATACTCTTTCTGGAAATGCTTGTTCAAGATAAAGACAGCCATTTCACAAGTAAATCCCCTCTGTGAAGAAATTTATTTTTACTAGATGTTCTTATGTCCATCGCTTCCCTAGGGAGCTTGTTAATACTCAGCTTTCCAGGTCCCTACGCCCAGAATCATAATCCAGTATGTACAGGACTTGGCTAGGCAAATGCATTTTTAAGGACCGCTCCAGATGATTCTGATACAGGCATTCAGTTGGCCATATTACAAAAAAACGGTACAAGCACATAACCCAATAGGCACTCTTATAACCAAAACCAGGATCTGTTGAACCATGTTAGTGGTAGCAATCACATGCGTTCATACATTAGGGGTCACTGGGTTTTAGTATATAAGCAGGAGATGTCACTGCTAAGGTAGAAAACTAATTTACGATGGCCTACTTTTAGTTTTAAATATAAAACTTGCAGAGGAGAATTATAGGAATGATTACATTTCCTGCGTAATTCTGACTGTATTCCAGAGCGATTGCCGGTTCTACCCGTGGTTACCATATTCCTTATTTGCCAGCCACTTTTCCGTTCAAGAACAACTCACAGATGAATATTTGGCTAGCATAACTCCAGGCAAGAAGCACTCCCTGGATTACATCAGATTGGAATGCTCTTTTTCCTCCCCTTCTAGAACAAGTGAAGAGGGGGAACCTTTTTTCTTCATGGTGCTGAAGGAGGGGCGAATTTATCATACCTGTAATACCTCACTTCTGGGAAAGAATGGAGCCCAAATTCCTCTTCTACTTCAAGGACAAATGATGCTCACATTTCAAGAGCTCTTCACTTTGAACTCTGGGCTGTTGTTAAGCTCTTATCACGTTATCACTACCAAGCTGCTTCATCCCTAGACAGAAGAAGAGTTTTTCTAGCTCTGGGTTGAATTTTACATTTTCAAATGTGCAGAAGTTATTAAAGGCTTGAAAGAGTTTTGAAACAACCTGAGATTGCCATCACAATGTAGATAAGCTGGTAACCCTTGGGGGGGGCGGGGGCGGCGCTCACAACACATCAGTGTTGAGGGTGCGTGTCTACACTTACTATAGGAGCATCCGTAGACCTCCACCCTCATGCCAATCTTTCCACTTGGATTCCATTCCAGGGGCACGAAGCGAATGAAGCGGGCTCTCACTGAGTGCAGTAACTTATGGTGCATCACGCTGTCAGCATTCATGTTTCCTGCAAAGGTCTGCGGAGAGAAAAGGAGGCCCCGTGAGATTTGTGACACCATTGCGTCTCCTTCCCATGCCGAGCTCAAAGCACCTCACTGCAAATTCACATATGTTACTCCACTGAGTCTTTCCAAGAAAATCCTCAATTTCACAGATATGTCAAATAGAAACCGACTCCTGTGAAAATTCTTCATTATGTTCCTTTTTTTTCAGAAATGCTATCCATTATTCTTTGAGGAACTCTCTCCCCCAAGGTTAGACATGACACCTGAAAGCTTCACAAAGTAAATAATACCATGACGTTCCAATATTTCTAATGCTCATAGTCCCTCCCTGTGGTAAAGGAGATAAGTGGCCATCTCCTCTTAGAAGGAAAAGGCTTTCATTGAAGTAACTGTTACCATCAGTTGAGGCCCGTCACTATGCTAAGCACTTTCTATTATGATTATTACCATTTCACAGATTAAAAAAAAATACCTGAAGCGTAATGAGAAAAAGGGTGAAGAAAAAAGAAATCTTCACATCATCCAATTGGTTAGGAATTGGTCTGAGATTCAATTCCATGGTCGTCCTATTCCAAAGCTTGTGGTTTTTCTACAGCCCCACACTCTTCAGCTATCGCCATGTCAATTGTTACTGGAGGGAGAAGGGGGGTTCTGACTCTTAGGACTCTTAGGTAACTCATTTTCTCAGGAAGTTGAAGCAAAGGAGCACATAGTTTGGGAACTATTGGGCACACCAGAATTATGTCCTCTAGTCTTCATTTGGATGAGGGATTTCTGGAGTAAAAATTTTTCTGGAGATGGAATCCAAAGTCTCACACCTCATCTCTTTTCCCCATTGGGGTAGAATATACATAACATAAACGTCCCACTGAAACCATTTTAAAATGTATATTTTAGTGGCATTAAATACTTTCACACCATTGTGCAACCCTCACCACTAGCCATCCGGACAACTTTCTCATCACCCCAAGGTTCCCTAATCCTTAAGACAGTATGTCATCTAGCACACGGATTTGCTTGCTTCATTAAAAATTGTCATTTGCCTTCTTTTCTGATTCAAGTATTTGTAGATAAAGCATACTTGCTAATGTCCCATCAATGTCAATAAAAGGGAGATCCGCTAGTTCGTCAAGTGGCCAAAATGAACACCAAGTAAAGTATCTTATGTAAACAATGGAATTGAATCCATTTTCAAAGATCCAGTCTGAACCTTGTCTGTATGTATCCTCACCACAGCTGTGAACACTCAGACATTCTGCAACACACAATACACCCAGGGGCTACTAACTCTGACATAAGCAATTGATAGCGTCACTATTACGCAGCACAAAGTGGCTTACTGAAGAATGAATACATTCACTTCCTAATTTGCAGCTACACCTGCAACAAAATTCTCATGTAACGGAATGACTTAGTGGAGAGGAATTCCTCAAGATTCAAATCCAACATCCAGGCCACGGATTTAGGCAAGGTTGTACCATTTTTTCTTCATGCAAATAAGAATGACTCTACTTGGCAGGCTGGCTCTTCCACACGTCCTGCTCCCAGCTTTACAACTGGTACAGGTATAAACCTTCTTCAGTCCCTTGTTCACTTAGAAAGGATCTTTCCCAGGGCACCCGGGTGGCTCAGTCAGTTAAGCATCCGACTTCAGCTCAGGTCATGATCTCACAGTTTGTGGGTTAGAGCCCTGTGTAGGGCTCTGTGCTGACAACTCAGAGCCTGGAGCCTGCTTCTCCCTAGAGAATCTCCCTAGAGATTCTGTGTCTCCCTCTCTCTCTGCCCCCCCCCCCACTCACGCTCTGTCTCCCTCTGTCTCAAAAATAAATAAACATTAAAAAAAAGAAAGGAATTTTCCCTATAGAGTTTAGAGTTTTTGGTTTCCATTTTTAATATGTTTTTGTCCATACTTCTTTGATATATATGTTCATACATGTTGTATATCTTGGGGAGAGGTACTGGTGGTTTCTGATTGTCCTGGATAGAATTAAGGTATTTCATGGTTTTCTACAACCTAACTGGGGAGTTTCCATTCAGTAATCTGGACTCCCTCTTACTCATGGATGCTACAACCCACCTCCCAGGCACATAAAGGCCCTGGGTCTATAGTATCTCTATCTAACCCAAACTTTCAGTAAAATCTTTCTTACACTGAGGACAATGGGGTGCCCCCTCCAGAGTTCTATGTAATATATAGACCAAATATATCTTAAGCTAACGTTTAAATCCTGGTTTTATAATTCTAGATATAAGATTTATTTTGTGAACCTGGAATCCTTTATAGGATCCCTTAACTCATGTACTAAGTGCTCTGATGACGGAATCTTGGATTCTCATCACAAAGGGCACATCTTGGAAAGATTGTGTAACATTAGGCAAGCGACTTAATCTTTCTGAGTCTCTCTGTCATGATCTGAACATCTCACGGTCCCAGAGCTATATAATTTGTAGTTTCATAGCCTCATAGGCTCATGCCAGAGGAGACCCAAGGTCTCAAAGTTTGAGATCTCAAAGTATGCAGTGCATGGTCCCAGGACCCTCTTGGAGCTAAGAGGCTAACATTAACTTGGGAATACTTAAAGCTGGAGGCAGACTGAGTCTAAAGGAAGCTTCAGCCAAATTCTCACCAAGTTCACTAGTTCAACTTCTGACAAGATCAAAAGTAATCATCATATAGCAATGCAGGAAGTTGCAGGCTAGAAAGAAAAGCAAACAAATGTCTCCTTCCTCTTCCAGTGCTTGAATTCCAAGGCCCTATTAGATTCATTAAAGCTATCACTCACCCCAAGTCAGCTCAACTGCTAAAGATACCTGGACAGCATTAAGGGTGACAGCTGACTTTTCATGAGAAATGTTAGAGACCAACTAATGCTGAAAGTAGGATACCATTAACCTAGCATTCTTTTGTTTTAAGTTTATTTATTTTGAGAGAGTAAAGAGAGCAGAGACAGAGGGAGAGAGAGAATCCAAAGTAGGCTCCACACTGTTAGTGCAGAACCCAATGCTGGGCTCAAACTCACGAACTGTAAGACCAAGACCTGAGCCAAAATCAAAAGTTGAACACTTAAGCCACCCAGGTGCCCCTCAACTTAACATTCTATACCCAGCAAAAATAGCTTCCAGCTCTGAAGAAAAAAATAAACATAGTTTCATTTAAACAAAAGCTGAGATAATTTATTACCAATAGACCTCCACTGCTAAGAATTGCTACATAAGTAATTCTATCTAAAGAAATTGATACAAGATAGAATTTTCTCTTTTTTTAATTAATGTGTTTATTTTTGAGAGAAAGAGAGAGAACACGCACATGCAAGTGCTTGAGTAGGGGAGAGGCAGAGAGAAGGAAAGAGAGAATCCCAAGCAGGCTCCATGCTACACGGTCAGTGTGGAGCCCAATGCAGGGCTCAAACTCATGAATTGTGATATCATGACCAGATGTGAAATCAAGAGTTAGACGCTTAACCAACTGAACCAACCAGGTGCCCCAAAGACAGAATTTTCAATGTGCAGGAAGGAATTAAGGATACTCAAAGGGTTAAATGTGTGGGTAAGAATAAAAGACTAGATTTCGGGGCTCCTGGGTGGCACGGTCGGTTAAGCGACCGACTTCGGCTCAGGTCATGATCTCACGGGTCTCATTGAGTTCGAGGCAGTGGGCTCTGTGTGCAACAGCTCAGAGCCTGAAAAGACCTATTTCAATTCTGTGTCTCCTCTCTCTCTGCCCCTCCCCTGTTCATGCTCTGTCTCTCTCTGTCTCAAAAATAAATAAATGTTAAAAAAAAAAAAATTAAAAAAAAAAAGACTAGATTTCTTTCTTTTCCTAAAAATTGTAAAGTCAATTCACACTTTAGAGGAAAACTAAAAACACATTGTGAGATTTATAACATATATAGAAGAAAACATATGTCAACAAAGCTGCATAGAACGGGATACAGGATAAATAGAATTACACTAGTTCAAGGCTTCACATTGTATATAAAGTGATATATTAGCAATTTTATATAAATTACAAGTTAAAGATGCAAAAAAATAACCAAAAAGGTATAACCACAAAGCCAATAAAAGAGAAAGGATGGAATAACATAATAATAATAATAATAATAATAATAATAATATAAGAACAACAAACCTGATCCCAGTTTAACACAAAATAAGATAGGAAATGAGAAACAAAGGAATAAATCACAGACAAGAAAAAAAAAAAAAAAAAAAAAAAAAGTAAACTTAAACTTTACCAAACTGGTGATTACATTAAAAGAAAAATGATTAAAACTCCAGTGAAAAGTTAGAAATTGTCAGGCTGATGGAATAAGTGTGTGTGAGGGAGAAGCCAGTAAGGATGTAGAATATTCAAACAGTGAAACTGGCCTAATTAATGTTCACAGAACATGGAACAATGACAGGTTAAATACATTGTTTTCAAGTGCACACATAGGATATTCACTAAGAGGGACCCTATCATATATGGTAAAAAAAAATCATATGGCTTGTTTTCTGACCACAATTAAGCTGTCATAATAATAACTTATTTAGGAAACCCTCAAATGTTTGGAAGTTATTCAACACACTTCTAAATGACTCATAGGTCAAAGAAGAAATCAAAATGGAATTTAGAAAATAGTTCTAATTGAATGATGATAAGAACACTGTATCAACATTTCTGGAACACAGCCAAAGCAGCCCTTAGAAGAAAATGGATGGTTACAAATGCCTTTTTTTTTACATGAGAAGGAAGAAGTAAAGTTAAAAATCTATATTTCCATCCCAAGAAGATAAAAAACTAGTAAATCTGAACTCAGAATGTTATAGTCAGCAATAAAAAATAACCAACAACACCTGCTCCAATACGTGTGTTGGGCAAAAGTAGCTAGCCATCAGGAGTGCATACTACACAATTCTATGTATACGAAGTTCTAGAAGGGGCAGAACTAAGCTCTGAGGATGGAAATCACATCAGCAATTTTCTCGATGATGGGAGACAGAAAATGACCACAAAGAATATCCATCAATTT